CTTTAGGGCGGGGCTACACGGTGATTGACAGGTCTCTAACAGAGACGTATACGGCGTCTCTACGTCACTCCTCCTCAGTCCAAATATGGTCACTTCTGCTCAATGGTTCCAAAAACCAAGATGGCGACGGCCAAATTGCAGAACTCGAGGCTTCAAAACGTCCGCAAACCAACAGGTGACGTCACGTCACTGTCAAAGTCAATCAATATGTTAATCGGTCGATCATGCTCGTGGATCCTTAACTCCATTGTTCAGTCCGATGCGTGTTTACTTGCTTTAATCGCTTCATCCCCACTGATTCATATTTAGAGAGTCCTTCTCAAGTTTGCTTTACAGTTGGATGGACGCACCTCCCTCCCTCTCTTCCCCTTCCTCTCTCTTTACTTTCCTCCCACTCTCCGTGTGTCATCAGGAGTGCCGTCGGCCCCCACTCCGGCTGATGCCTGTTAATGTGGCAGCGCTATTGTCTCCCCGTTTCGTTGCTGCTGTCTCTTTTGTTTGCTCTCACACTTGACAAATTCATCAAAAAGGGGGAGAAAAGAAAAGGAACGGGAGAAAATAGCTTTGAATCAAGCGGCTCCGCACAATTGACTGTTTAAGTCTGGCGAGGCGAGTCTTTGCCTTCAAATGGTGCACGAAATGCGTGTTTGTGTGTGTCATTTTGCACATCGATCACTTGTTCTGCCTTTATCTAGGTGGGACGGCCCAATGGCTGCTGCTGTGTCAGTGTGGAAGAGTACAAACATTCCGTGTTTTTAGTGTTTAATGCACATCGGTGTGAGTGTAAGTGAGTGTCTCTCTGTGTCTCTGCATCCATTCAAATCTGTTACGCTAGCAACAATATCAATATCCCATTACACATTAAATGAACAGTGAGGAAGATTTTCATTCTGTCTGATGAAAGAAAGCAAAGAAGAAAATAGGAAAGGAAACAAAGAAGGGAAACAAAGGATGAAAAAGAAAGTAAAAAGAGACAGATAAAGGAGGAAGAAGAGGACAGGAGAGAAGGTGGCAGAAAAGGAAAGCAAGATGGGAAAGAAAAAGGAAGGAAGGATAGAAAGTAAAGGAATGAGGGTAAGAAGGAAGGAAAGAAGGTAGGGAAGAAACAAGAATGCAAAATAGAAAAGAGAAGGGACAAAGGAAGGAAGGAAGGATAGAAAGTAGAGGAATGAGGGTAAGAAGGAAGTAAAGAAATTAGCAAAGAAAAAAGAAAACAAGATTAAAAAGAGAAAGGACAAAGGACAGATTGAAGGAAGGGAGGATTGAAGGTAAAGGAATGAGCGTAAGGAGGAAGGGAAGAGATGGAAAAAGGAAGGAAAGTGGAACCAAGTAAGAAAACAATCACAGAATAGAAGAAGAGAACGAAAATAAATGGAGGCAAAGAGAAAGAAAAGAAGAAAGATGAAAGAAAGAAGAAAAGGAAAGAAAACGCAGAGAAGAGGAGGGCAGAAAGCAGAGAGGAAAGGAAAAGAAAAACAAAGGGAACGAGTGAAACTAAATCTTAATCCGCAATCATGAGATCTGACTTGGCTCCAGGCTTCAGATCAGAGCAGTCAAGTAAAGCGTACAACCTCTCCCACTGAGATGAGCCCCGTGTCCTCGTACCTTTGCTCTGTGGAGGGTTCTGGCTGCGGTCTCGGAGGATGTTGATCTGGTAGACGGCTCCGTACGGCTCAAACAGCTCCTTCAGCTCCTTCTCTGACCAGGAGCGCGGGATCTGGCCCACGAACATCTTGATGGCGTCCGGGTCCGGCTGGTCCGAATGGTCCAGCGCCCCGTTCATCTTCCCGGCCGTGCCGTTGCTGTTGGAGGAGGCAGAGGAGAGAACGTTTAGGAGCTTATTTATACCAACGGCACCGGTAGGATTTAGACTCGTGGTCCCAGCAGCACTTTCCTTGTTCGATAACACTTTTTGGGATAATTTAGCTTGGGCTAAACTGGGAACTGCAACTGATGTGTAACTGTGAAACCCATTCAGACACAGATACACTTGACCAGAAACCAGCAAACAACAAAAACAAACATGTTGTACTTCCTAGCAACAGTAATGCTTCAAAAAGTAATAATCAAACAAGAGACGTAGAAATAAACACAGAATAAAGCATTGCTGTGCTAACTTCTCTTAAAGGGGAGAGAATGTTCTCAAACATGTATTCCTTCAGTTTATCTGAAAAATCCAAAATAGTAGATTTCCCCTGGACAAAATCACGAAGTATGCCCGAGGAGTTACATTATGTTTTCAACACACAATTACAGACTGTGGTGTAATTTTAACCAAATGAGAAAAGCATCTCAGACAGGACCACTGCAGCTAATTATAAATCGATATATGGCGTCTATAACAGCCTCCAGGCCGCCACTAAATCCCTGAAACTCACACTGATATAAATCCTCTGCACGCAGCAGTGAGGCGAGACGCCTTTCAGCACTAAGATTTACGGACTGATGTCCCTGAAGCTGGCATCTTCTATATATACCGACAGGACACATCAGGAAGCTGACACATCACGCTGACCCTTAAAAGTGGATTTTTTGAAAGTGAAGATGCGGTGACGGATGTCCTCAGGATGCCGGCAAATCTGCACCGTAGGACTGAGCTGAACAACAAATAAAAAGTACACCCCCCCCCCCCCTCCAGAGACACGTCATGAGGCCTGCTGCCGTTACGCTGCATGAATGAGCGGCGGATCAGCAGCGTAGCGGTGTGGTGGTCGGTGAGCTCGTATATGAGGGATTAGGCTGCAGGACCAGTACAGCAAAACCTCCGGGCCCTCTGACGGGACACAGGCGCTTACACGCCGATCGCTCTGGTTCCACATCTGGAATGCGTATGGAAACGGCCGTTGAAGTGCTTTCCACACATTTGTTTTTACTGCAGAGCTACAAGACTTTATCACCAAAACACACTGCGTCCGTCCACGCGTTTGGAGCGCTAACTTCGGACGAATAAAGGCGAGTAAACGGCTTTCAGCGGCCTCCACGGAGATGAGAGCGGCACGCGAGCAGGCAAAGCGTGACTGTGTTTTTTGAGGACAACCACATGTAAACGGCTGCAAACACACACACACATATCACTGCCATCAAGGCCTGTGGTCTATTTAAGATGGCTGAAAACCAATCCAATGAAACCAAAGTCAACGGCTGTGCTGTTTTATTGCTCTACTTTCCCTTTTGTTATTCTCGGCAGGAGAGAGAAAGAGCATTATCTTAAGAGGCGAAAACAAAACAAAGCCAAATCCCGAGCTTGGTTAGCTGACAACACTAATACCACCCTATAAAGCTCAGCGAGAGAGAGCGAGAGAGAGAGAGAGAGAGAGAGAGGAAGGAGGGAGGGGAACAGAGAGATATAGAGAGTCTGGGAGGGAGGGAAACTAGAAAAAACTAAACATCCAGACCTTTGAATGTGAGCCATCCATCTTTTGCAGAAGGAGCCGAGGCGCTCGGCAGAAACGCCCAATTCTTTAAAGGACTTAAAGGACATGTCAAATAAAACGCCAGAACCGGAGAAGTCAACGAGCCAAACCGGTGCTAACAGTCCTTGAGGGCAGCAAGCGCTCCTCGCTAAGCTGTCCGATAAATCGCAGGACGGGTGGGCGTGGGGGGCCCCGGAGCCTGAGGGAGCCCCCAAGGGTGGCGGTGGGGGAGAGAGAGAGAGGGAAGAGGGCAGTGGCGAGGAGTTACCGTCCCCTATCAGCGGCTGATGTTTAGGCATATAAACGTCCCCGCGGTCGATGGGTTCAGACTGCAGCACACCATCCCTTCGCCCTCTGACACACACATCAGCTGTGCGCGTGTGTGTGTGTGTGTGTGTGTGTGTGTGCAGAAAGAAAATAGCTGGAGACAATCCCTCATTGTTGGCTGGTCATGTGAGGCCTTCAGGGACCGCTAAGACAAAATGAATATTGGGCCCGCATTGTTGTCGGACGCAGAACCGTCTCGTGTAGACCGCATGCCCCCCACCCCCCCAGAGGTGATTGAAATCGTGTGACTCTCCTCGCTACAAAGGAATGAGCACCTCTTCCAATTCGCCCCCGTGGCCAAGACTGACAAGGTGTTATTGCAAGCAGACAGAGCTTTAGCGTGCACGTGTGTGTGTGTGTGTGAAGCTCAGCGGGAGAGTGTCCTGGGGCTCGGATTAAGTCGTTGAGTGGATCTACTCGTGCCATAGCCTCTCCACCCCTCCCCCCTCTTCTTACTCTTCTTTCCCCCGCCCCCCCCTCTCAATTTGAGCCAATTGTTTGCCTTAATGGCTTAACTATTGCTTCCATCACTCCAGTCTCCCTGCAGCACGGGGGCCGTGACAGAGGGCTGATCTACACTGAGTGCGTGCTGAGCCAGGCTGCAGAAAGCAGTGTCTGTAGAGGTCTTTGAAGCAGCTGCTGAGGGCTGTTATTCCCTCACCTCACACTCACATTAGACAGCCGGCTCGTTCATCCAAACTACAGCTGCACATTGACCATAAAAACCCCGACGACGGTACTTTATTTATTTATTCATTCATGGTCTTCATTTTACACTCGCAGCTCTCCATTAAAGACGCTCATCGACAATGTTGGCAAACGCACAAGCTGGCTTTCTTTTCAGACGGTGTGACGAGAGTATCGATGTCAATCGTCACGTCTGTCAGGAGGCGGTTAGCTTAGCTTAGCGTAAAGACTGGAGGCATCGGGGGACACATAGAAAATATGGCTTTATAAAGTTTTAGGATCATGCGATCGGTCATTTATGCATGCGCGTGAAAACAGCATTTTCTGGCATAAAAATTAGAAATAACTAATAATATATCGACTTTTTTTCTGTTAATTGACAAATCGATTAGTCGACTAATCGTTGCAGCATAAAATATTGATTAGTGCGGCTTTAATTGCATATAAAAGTCATCTTCCTGGGCTGTATTGATGCGAAGGCCCAACAGAATCAAAGTGAATATGGTAAATACTACAGGTAGAGGGAATAGGCTCCGCCTCCACAGAGTGACAGCGTAGAGCTACCTGCGGCACATTGACGGCCCGCTCGTTGCCTCGTTCAGAGCTGGAGTCCAACAGGAAGAAGCTACAAAAAAAAAGGACAGATGTGAACGAGACGGAGAGGACGAGCGAGGCAGGCGAGAGTGGGAACAAAAAGAGAGGGAGAGAGCGGAGGAGACGGATGCAGATGTGCCAGGTCCAGGAGTAAGCACAGCTCAGAGCTCAGCAGGGGATCTCTCTCTCAGAAACCAGGCTCACGCACACGCACACACACACACACACACACACATCACACATGCACGGGCTACAGTTCAGGCTGGCTGCGCTGATCCTCCTGCTGTTTTTCCCTTCTGTTTCTGCTCTAAAACACACATCCTCTCTGACTCCCTTAACCCCTCGATCGCAGCGCAAACACACACACACACACACACACACACACACACACACTTCAGTGGTTTTCGTGAAAGGGCCAAGCTGTCACACACTTCTTGTCATTGGCAGCGTGTTTGCAGGGTGTGTAACGGTCCCACAGGGGAACTAACCTTGTTGACAAGCAGAGTGAGAAACATCAGTTCCCCCCCCCCCAGGGAGCAAGGCAGCCAAGGTCAGCTAAACACACACACACACACACACACACACATGCACATGTGCTGGCATGTTAACACACTCACACTCACAGACTGTCACCTCAAACGTACACACTTGACAGACTCTTACACAACTTTCACACGGACACAAATTGATGCAAAACGTGGAGGAACACGCATCGATAATTTCATATCATCACCTTCGGAGGAGATGTGCCATGACCATATGTTGTTGTTTACAAAATGTGCTGCCTATATATTTAAAATGTGGTTCCAACGTAGAACATTTTTCACGCAGGAGTTGTGTCTGACATGTACAATCATAGATATCAGAGATGGATGTCAGGGGTTGAGAGATAATCATAGGGTCCAATGTGAGATTTATGAAGTCGTCATTAAGTCATAAACTGAGCTCATACACACCTCAACATACTGACACGTCTGTGAACGACAGCCACAAGCAGACACACACGATTCATTTCATAGCCCTGAATATTTTCCGCCGCTGTATCAAACTGTAAACAAGATTAGCAACTTCACCACAACGCACCGTGAGAGGCGTGGATCCCGCTCCGTAACTGATGTTGTCAGCGGCGGTGCGAGGCGGATTAGTGACTCAAACTAAATGAGTGGCGTATACTGTATCGACTGATTTATGTGGAACGCTTTTCCTTTTCCCTGTAACTGACTTACAGCGAGGTAAACTGCCTCCCGGGGGGGGGCCCGAGCCAAACGAGGGAGTGTGATATTGCCTGTGATTCACTTGAACTTTACAATGAGCGATATTCCGCCCACCTTGGGTACAGAGCTGGGACAGCAGCCACCGGTACGCACTGTACACAGCTCCATGTGTTCATCACCAGTGTTTCTCTGCTCTAAAGAACTATGTCTATGCAAGACTGTGTGTGTGTGATATGTGTGTGTGTGTGTGTGTTTTAGGGTTTCCATGGAGACGTGGCGGCGCATGCGATGCAGGCAAACGATCAGATAAATGTCACAGTGGCTAATGAAGCTGCACCGGTGCCCCGGCGCTCAGCTAGCTCTGTGCTAACGAGCTACTGCACGCCAGTGCGCTAATGAGAGGAGACACACACACACACACACACACACACACACACACACACACACACACACATGAGGAAAACACAAGGTCTCATTCTGCTCGTTTCTCATGTCTTAGAGGAGTTAAAGCTGCAGGATCGGGATCGGTGGCATGAAGCTGTCTCGATATGAAAACTTGACTTATATTAAACATTAATGACAACACTTTGATAAGCAGGAAAAAAAAATGGCTCCTGGGATGAAAATGCTGAAATGCTCTTTATAATTAAATGAATGAAAACTGCCATCCCTCCATTCTATTAGTCAAAACGTAGATGTCGTTCTTCATCGTGGTCTGTTGTGTTATGTTGACCTGTTGTTGTGGAAAGAAGGATCTAATAAACCCTCTTTTGTATATACTGTCATATTTGACCTTATCTCAGTACGGATACGGTTGAAAAAGCTCCAGAAAGAAAAACATAGTAAGCAGAGCTTGAGTTTAGAATATCTTATCATAAATATCTGCTCACGAGGTGAAGAATGACCTTCGTGTGTATGACTAGCTTTCAATTTCTGGCTTTTCATTTCTATTATAAACAGAATCGAGGGTATTTAATGATTTATTTATATATATAAAAACATAAAAATTTAAATCTGCATCAAATTTGCATTTTCTAAATACAGTGTAAAGTGTTAATGGATGAAACAAGATTCTAATTCAATAAGCTGACTCGACTATTGATGATAATCTGATACAAACCCTCGACTCTGTTTTATTAATTCCTTTGAGATATAATCAGCAGCTCAGTTTTCCCTCCATTCTCTCTTCCCTTGCTTGCACTGACCAAGCTGATTGCACAAATATTATTCCAAATAATATTCTGAATGAAGCATTTTCCCGATTAGGACGTGCGGGATATGCCAATACTATCCGTGTTTAAGGAGCGTTCTTTGGACATGAATACAGCGCATTCTGAATATGCATCTCAATCAGGGTTAGTGACTCACGTTAACAGTCCGCTCTGTGCGTTGTCCACAAAGCAACTAGTCCACAGTTTGCAGAAACACACCAAAAACACACCAGCTTTTAAACATTACAAAAGATATCAACAGGTTTTAGGTTATGCACAAATATCACAACGCTGACGGTCAAACAACTCTGCCACCGATGGAAAACATATTGTTTGACCCAAAGAAGCAAAATGGCAAAAGCAGCTCCAGCAGTTCCACTTGTTGCACATTTTGAGGTGATAAACGACACGTCGGGGCATCGAGTCTTTATCAAACACAACCCAGAATGACGTTGACGGGGAATTAAACCGCAGTGTGCTCGGCTGCACGTAAACATGAATATTAATGGAATGTTCATTTTCATTAGCCATGAAAACAGCTCGGTAAGAATCTGTTCTTTTTCAGAATAAACCGGCATGTCTTGTGCATGTAAATCTCACATTGTAAGCACATCACAAGAGGACCTTGTGGAGAATAGTGTTCGCTCCCAGCAGGACACACAACAGCAGCACTTGGGAGTAAAACCCAGGTGAGAACCACCTTAAACAAACCTGCGCCTTTTGAACACAGTGGAAGAAATACTAAGAACAAAAAAATAGCCGTGAACGTATCACAGCGGAGAGCTCGGAAGAAGAACTCGTATTGAAAATTGTGTGTTTGTCATCGTGCCACCTCGTCCCGTACGCACAGCACAGAGAGCCTTGTGAAGAACCTTCACATGCGGCGGAGGAGACCGCACTTATCGTGGAGCTGAACTCTGAACCGTAGAGGAGAGTCATCTGTGGTTGCACATCTAAAAACACACCGTCTGAAGTCGTGGAACACGGTCTGCACTAAAGGGACACGCCGATGTTTGTGCAAGTTCTAGCTACTTAACTAAACATTTACGTTTTCAACCGTATACTGTAAAGCTTTTCATTTCTGGATGTTTTTATTTTACTTTCCGAGCGGCCATTGGCTCCCATTCTGAAGGGTATGAACATCAATCAATTATTGACAACAATGAAGACGGAACTGAAGTTCACTGCGATGGATTAAAGGATTCAGGCCAGTGTTAAGCGTCTGCTAAATGAGCTGAAACAATTAGTCAATAACGGATAATTCTACCATCGAAAAATGGTCGATTATTGTAAGGATTTGAAGCTTTTCTTTGTCTTAAACGATAGTATAAGCACTTTGCAGTCTGGTCTATGTATCGACTCTTATCGGGGTTTAAACGGAACCTCGACAATACGAGACATTTTTCCCAAAACGCTCGATAAACTAATAGATTGACAAATTGAATCTGGTCACCAAAAATCAATGGGATTGTGTCTGAACGTGTGACAACACACGTTGTGTATTTACAACAGGGAGATTTTTTCTCATTGGGGAAAACCTGAAAGCGTCGTCTTCATGGCGGCGCGGTAAGAGACGTCCTGAGGTCACTAGAAATCAATAACGCTCGTCCTCTCGGGGTGTCAATGAGCAAAGCAAATTTCATGCACATGTGGTTTTCAAGCATACAAACGGAGACGTGGAGATGGTGATCACATAACCTCTGCAGTGGATAGAAGTAAAATAGTCCCACATGGAATATGTGGCTCTTGGCCTTCATGTTTTCACTATTTTTGGGGAAAAACCTGCTTTAGTTTGTGCAATTTTCTTCCTCCTTCTTCTTCTTCGACAGAGAACTTCCTAGAATTATCTCCCGAAAATGATGCTTTCTAGCTCACGCCGGCCTGACCTGGAGGTTCTGTGTGTGTGTGTGTGTGTGTGTGTGTGTGTGTGTGTGATAGAGGGAAGGAAGGGGAAAGGAATTAGAGCATCTTAAAGCCTCAACACCAGATTGGTCAAATCCAGGCAGCAGCAGCAGCAAAATTCCACCCTAATCTTTAGCACACTTCCTCTCTTCTTCACCCCCCCACCTCCTCCTCTCCGTGTCTTGTTGCTATGGGAACAGCAGAGTCGGCAGGGTGCATGGGGTGAGGGTACTGGGTGTTGGGTAGGCGGGCGTCTCTTTGGATGGCACTCTAACCCCTTGACTCTTTGTTCTTTTTTGTCCCCCCCCCCCCCCCCCCCCTTTTCTTCTTCTCTTATCTTTTGCCTAAAAAAACAAAAAAGCCGTCAGCTCCACGTCTCTCCTCCTTCATCACCCGCCGTTTCTCTCACTCCATCGCTCATGTTTGCGGGCTTAATGAGAAACAGCCTGTGTGTTCGGTGCGAGCCTGCGTGCGCGGCCGCGCGGCGCCGTGCACACCCGCGTGATGAAATGGCAGCGGCTCTGATTGTCTGGCATCTAGCTGCGGCTGCATTCTGCCAAAAGTCATCATCTGACGCGCCGACGGGGATGATGGCCCATTTGACTAATGCTTCTCTGCGAAACGGGCCAACAACTCCACCCAACCAAGCGGACGTTGGGGGTGGAAGGGTCGCGGGATCATAATCTGATCGGTACCGGTTCAATTCAAACAACCCAGATTTTGAGACGCCGGCCACCGCGGCCTTTAAGAGCACCCGTTGGCTGTGTGTCTTTGTGTGTGTTTGTACAGTTAACCCTGGACACTGTGTACCTGTACGACACGTAACACCTCCACTGCCGTGCTCCAACAATAAATCCTCCCGTTGTGTTCACCCACATCGGTTGTGACACATCTAAAGGGGACGACTGAGCAGAAAAACCACAGGGTAGAGACAGAAAAATGGGGTATTAAGGACAGAGGGGAGAGGCAAAGAGAAACAGAGAGACAGGGGGAGAGAAAAAGGCGGTCAGTTGCCAGCGACAAAACACAACTGATTTAACAGCGCGAGTACATTTGTCGAAAACTGGCTTCGGCACAATTACATCCCATTGTGAGTGAGCTCTCGACGCCATTTGCAGCACAAAGGTTGCAAAAGCCTGGATATCACCTCTATTAGCACTTGGCTGCTGTTTTCATGTACGACGCCCAATAAAAACTATAAAACATGCACGTGGTTGCACAGTTATAGGTGCGCCTGTTCTCCGAGGACGCTCGGTGTGGACTGGCAATAACCGCCTCTGAACCTTTAAATAAACCACCATTAATGGTCCTCATGTTGGTGACAGACAGCTGGAGGAAACCTACTTATTGGGCAACATGGGAGGGCAGTGTTTTCCGTGTGTCTGACAGCATCTGCAAGCTCTTGTTTTTACTGTAATTTCCCTAGTAGATCATTTCATTGTGGTTGCAACTCAGCATGTTTGACCTCAGGCACCCTTTAAATACACAATACAACACGGGCATTTTGTCCACATTCTTCATCGCGGCGTCACACACCAACACACAGACTGCACCGAGCGACCCGGGCTGCTATCCAGCATTTCCCTGCTGTGATTCATGTGAACGAAGCCACGCTTTGCCAAGTCCATTTACTCCTCTCTTCTCGTTTTTTCCCTTCAGACCTTGTTTTCTTTCTTTTCCTGCCATTTTGTATTTATCTTTTTTCAAACTCCCTTCACTCTGTCACTTTTGTGCCGGGACATCCGATATGTTGCAGTGTCAACACAGACATCAGTGGTTGTAAATATGACGTGTATCATTTTATTTCAGAAATAATAGAAGCCAACACAAATGTCTTGATGAACACCAGAGCATATTTTAACTCCTTAAGGGCGACTCCAGGTCAATTCTCAAGTCTTGTCAAGACCAAGATAAAATCCAAGTCAAGTCTCAAGTCTGGTTTCAAGAGGTGTCAAGTCTTGTCTCAAGTCAGTTGAGACAAGACCAGTCTCAAGTCATGTTAATACAAGTCTCAAGTCTTCTCAAGACAAATCCAAGTCAAGTGCCAAGTTTGGGTGAACCAAGTGTCACCTCAATTCTCAGATCTTATGGAGACAAGTCTCAGGTCAAGTCTCAAGTCTTGTAAAACGAAGTCTCAAATCAAAGTCCAACAAACTGCACATGTAGTTCTTTGGTTCAGTTTTGATAGAGATGCATATTAATCTTGATAAGACAGTGTTGTGCACATTTCAGGTTTTACTGATGAATCAGGAATTCATCACCTGCTAAATCTTGTTTTGAATCCCATTATCTCCCTGTGTGTTTGACAACACATAGATGTGAGGTTTAATTGGTTAATTACTCATTAAATACATACTGTTTCCAATCCTCAACACTTCTGTCTGTCACTTAATTCATCCATTTATTGCCTCTTTAGCTCTTTATATCCCGTCCTCCCTTCTTCCCGTCCCTCTCTGCCTGTCTGGTTTCTGAAGCGTGCCATAAGCATTAAGGAGGAAATCACTTGCACATTGCAGCGCCGCGTTCCCAAAAGCTTTCCTCCATAAAATTATAACAATTCACACACTCTGAGCCAATTTTATAGGAGGTATGGGAGGGCCTTGGATCTCAGCGGGCTGACAGATCACTGACGCGGAGCAGCAGGACATCTTTGGACCTGCCTCCTGGACTGAAAAGGGCCTCTGGAAGACGGGCTGCTAATGCCCACTACAGTGTAATTATGCCTGTAATGTTGTACAGGAGGAGGGGTTGGGGGGTGGAGGGGAGGGCGGGGCAGAGAGCGAGTGATAGCATTAAGGGATATTAGGGCGGGTGGGGTGTTCATTTTCATTAGGTTTTATGGGTTGGAAAAACATTGTCATGCATACGAATTAGCCCTGGAACAGATGGCTCAATATGGTTGTATGTTTCGTAACACACACACACACACACACACACATGGTTGAGGAGTGTGTGTGTGTGTGTGTGTGTGTGTGTGCAGAAAGGAGGAGGAGCCTTACAGTAACAATCCAAACGACAGCATCAGGCCCCCTTTCCTTTCCCTTCTGCCCTCCATCACGGGGTCAGGACCTCGAGAGCAAAACCAAACCTGGATCAGTCTGTTCAACAGTCTGTCTGAGGAGGGAAACCATATGCTGATGGAGTGTGTGCATGTGTAAGTGCGTGTGTGTGTGTGTGTGTGTGTGTGCATATATTCCAGATCCCAGATGCAAACACTGTCAAATCAACACAAAGGGTTTTGAGAGCCAGAAGTGACACTTTGTAGACTGCATCTCGCTGGCATTCCTGGCTAGTATTCAGTATCTTTAAATCTGTTTTTTGGGGGGGGGTTTCAAGTCAGCATTTTTCTCAGAAATCGCATTTATATAAGCGAGAGCAAAAGCCTCTACAAAACGCAGTTAGGCAGTCAGGAGACAGACTCACACCGAGGGGAATAATAAGAGCATTTTCCACACAATAATGATGCTAATCAAAATAATAAAACACTTTAAGTGCATATTTGGGAATAATTCAAACAAAATGCATCAGTTCAGCAGTCTTCCCATACACAGCTTGTGCTGTATCGATCAATTCTGCAATAGTCATGGAACAAATAAACCCGTATGATACCCATCAGATCAGATGCATGACTCAGTATCCAGTATGTGAAGCGTTCTGGCCACCAGGAGGCAGAAAAACACCAAAACAAGCAGACAGATAGAGCTAGCACCACTTCTCAAGGTCTTATGGATGGATGGATGTTTGTCATTTATTTTGGAGACATATTTATATCTACCTGATGAATGGAAGACCATTAACATGACTAGAGAGCAAATATCTGGCTGCTAAATGCTTCGCTACGTTGGCCAGTTAGCAACAGGACGGATGAGACTGGTGAGACTCAACCAGACAGTAAATGTGCCACAAAACGAGGTAAAAGAGGCTAAAAAGCTCCATAAAACCGCAGCATTGGATAACAACTCTTCACAATGTTGGAACCATGACAGCCACAGAGTCAATGCTAATATCAAAAATATTGACTAATGCAGCTTTAAAGTGTTCGTGTCAAATACAGAGAAAGCTACTTCCTGCTCTCTGGCCTTGAAGTTAACTTGTCTTTCTTTATACTCTCATAGAAAAAACTGGTCAGCGGATTATCAGGGACACTGCTTCTGGAAAGATGCTCTTAAAATCTTTGAGTGCAAGTTTCAAATGCGTCAAGCACAACAAATTAAATCCCTTTCACCTTCTTTGTGTCGTGGCAGCTGCAATATCAGAGACGGGTTCAAAAGCTGACGAATAGAACCCAAATCCAGATATCACTAGAGGAAAGTCTGACATGTTTTGGGGGGTAAATTGAGTAAATCAGCCCTTTAACACCCTATCCTCTCGACCTAAACACTGCCACATCAAAGGCCTATTTGTGCGACTTCTCATCTCTCGTCCACGGTCGTCTTCTCGCTGCTCACTGGCTTTAGAGCTCGGCTTTATATCCGTAGAAGCAAGGATGAGGGCGGGTACAGGTGCGCCTCCCCACTTCGGAGATATTTTTTTTTCCTATACCAGCAAACACTTTAGCTGTGGAGTTAGCCACGGCTCAGTGGGTCTGAATGGGGGATGTGCTCCCACAGCCCATTGATCTGTGCTGCTCCGCTAATAACAGACAGCAGAGACTCCCCGGCTCTCCGGGGCCATTAGGATGCATGAGTGGGAACCGTGCTGAATGGGACAATGCACAGAGGTGTGTACAAGGGTAAATACAACCCGGTTCATATGGAGCGGGCGGATACACTGCGTTGGGTAAGCTCGACTAACACGTAATTCCTTTTGGCTAACCTTGGAATTGCATTACTCTGCGTGTTTGTCTTTGCATGCGTACGTGTGTGTGTGTGTTTGTGTGTGTGTGATATAGGGATTAAGCGCAGCGTTACAGCATGACTGAGGTTGCTATATTTAGGGTCGTGCTGTTACATTTCCAGGCCATTATCGAGACCTGTGGGGACAAGCTGGGATTTCACACACACACGAATATACGATGCACTAACAGTGGTGTATTTCGGTGCACAGGCAGACCTACATTCAATCTCCTATCTGCTGAACAGTAAGAGGGGAGAAATGGAGAGGCCTGTCTGCTCTCCATCCCTCTAAATGTTTAATGAACCATCTCTCTCTGTCTCCCTCCCTCTCGCTACTCTCTCTCGCCCTCTCTTACCCTCCCGCTCAGCCCTCACCCATTATCTACTGTTTCTGCACTTCATCCCTCTCTCTCTCTCTCTCTCTCTCTCTCTCTCTCTCTCTCTCTCCTTCCTGCAGGCTAACAGACACCCCATATTGGTTCAAGATGAGGTTTGAATGCTGACGAGGAAGAAGAGGGAGGAGGAGGAGGAGGAGGAGGGAGACTCATCTGCATCCTCCCTCTGGTTTGGACCAAGCCTTCGCCAAATATATCATTTGTTCTCACTCAACTTTTCACTTGATGTTTGATATTTAGCAGTTTGTGGGGGCCCCGGCAGCGCTTTCGTCTGATGGGACGGTTTGGGTTTGACAGTATTTTGGATTCTGAGTTAGTTTGTGTGTTTTCATGTGAACCACATGAGGAAAGCGGGCGCGGTGCCGATCCAGCGCCTAAGTGCCTGTAATGTAACTGGCAAATATTTTTTTTGGCACGAGGGCGAAATGTAATGGAAAAATGCTGCGGTGGTATTTGTGGACTCCACAGTCACGGCTGTTTTTGTTTAGACAACGCCGGATGAATGCGGGTCTGTTTTATTCGGCCTAATCTACTGCACTCCTCTTTATCTCTTAATTCTGAAGAAGCAGTCTTATCTTTTTATACCTGTTGTGAATAAGCTGCTTCTACCTGGTAAACAAATCGGTTTGTGTCTGTTAATCTACTCCCGGTGCATTGTTTACAGGTTTAACTTTTAATCTCCATCTGCTGACGGCTCAATTTGAAAAATCTGTCACACTTCAGCGTGCACATATTGGTCATGTTAGGAGACCGGATCCAAATCAAAAGGGAAGCCTTGCGTGGCACTGCTGCTCATGTACCTAATTATAAGGCCATTGTATTGACAAGTACGATGGTCACATGCCGTGTCATTTTAATGGTCAGCATTCAGAAACCAACTCATACAATGGAGGAGCACTTTGCTGATGAAGACTTGTGACTTGACCTCAAAAGCCTGAGATCTGAATCAGACTGACTGAAGAATCGACTCGAGACTTGTTTTGACACACTTTAAGATTTGTTGATGACTTGTCACAACTGACTTTAAACGTGTCTTAAGACTTAAAGTACTTTCATGAACTTGAGACTTGAGATTTGACTTGCAACGACTGACTCGAGACTCATTTTGGGACTAGTGTTAAGAAGACTTGAGACTTGACTTGGACTCGTCACAACTGACGAAGGACTTGATTTGAGACTTGGTTTGACAAAACTTAAGATTTGTTTTGGACTGAAAACTTGTACTAAAACTTGAGACTCGATTCATGACTTGTTTTAGGAAGACTTGGGACTTGACTGAGATTAATAAACAAAACAAAATAAACAACTCCTCTCAGAAGATAAAGCGAGTCATTGCGAATAATTAACAATTGTTCATTACAAGTACAAACACAGCTGGTACTTTGGGTTTGAATGAAAGACTACTGGGAGAAAAAAGAAATCACTTCTTTCTCTGATTTTGTTTTGCCTGAGTCGTCTGAAGAACATTTAAAATTGTGAGAACAGACCCATAACACATTAGACAAACAACGCTCAGTGTGTGTTCCCGTGCGGATATGTGTGCGAGCGCTCGCGTGAAGCTACGGAGTGTACTTCCACTCCCAGCCCCGGGACTTCAAATTATCCCGAGGCTCCTCCAAAACACACTTCAAAATTTTTGTCTGCTTTCCAAACTCATTACTTTAGTAGGGCAAATCAAACAGGGCGCATTAAACGGAACTCAAACGTGAAGAGAGTGGAGTGCAAGAAGAGTGTGTGTGTGTTTGTGTAGTGTGTGCGTGGCTAGAGAAACAAGCGAGTGTGTTAATTGGGAGGATACTGCTCTAATTAATGGCCTATGAATAGCCATGCTGGGTGAGGAGTCAAGGTTAGACACCTGTGCGGCCACATCGATGTTGGAGCGAACTCCGTCCTCAGGGTCTATCAAATTACAAAGATTTAATGTAAATACAATATTGGCAGCCTTGCCTACTGCCGAGCCAAGAGAGGAAGCAAAGTGTGTGTGTGTGCGTGTGTGTGTTAAAGATAGTGAGTGTATGCAACAAGGATGATGTCAGAGCAATTAGCGAACACATGAATCATCACCGGGGAGGGAATGACCTCGGAGCACCATGGAGGAGAGTCAATTACGCCGTCATACCGGGAAACCAGGCGGTATTACACATTATTTATTACTCATTTCAGAAGTGACACAAAGAGTCCGCCGTGCTCTTCGGTAACATTAATATGTTATAATCCCAGAATTATTATTTGGTTGCGCCCCTTTCAAATTAGCAAATTTAATTTTCTTGCTATAGCCGGGAGCACGTCGGAGGACTTTTTAGACCCGACGGACTCAAATGGAATAAGTCAGTTACAGTCCGGTTGTGACTTAATAACACAGTAACACGGGATCACAGACTCTGCTGCTTTGAAAAGTACCGATGGCATGAACCATCATCAATAAATGGTGAATTGATTGCTAATTCAATTTGAGTTAATATTCATTTTACTGTTAAACATTTAGTCATGCTAGAATTTGTTATCGTTATAGTAACCGAATGTTTACCGCTGATGTTGGAGACCGCTGCAATATTTACGTACGCAAAACATTCTAATTATGTTCAAGGTGCTGAACAAGCATGCAAACTTAAAAAAAGACATTCAAACCTTTAAATGTATTTGAACAAAACTGTCTGTTCCTTTGAACTGATATCTGAAAAGCTGCATCTATCAGTTTCTTAAGAACTGTCTCCAGAACAGTTTGATAGAGTTCACAGTGCCTCTGGGTCTCTATTGGAATCTATTGCAACTGCTGTGAATCCAATCCGAGTACAGCTGCCTTCTGTCATGACGCTGGACTCGAGGTGAGCATTTGATGCTCACCGGATTCTACTCCTTTAAGAGCGTAGAGAAGTCATTTCCCTGGCTGTTGAAGCCACATCACGTATTAACACCAAGTCCCGTCAGATTTAATCATACGTGCTGTAACACAGGAGGACGCTTCATCCACATTCTCCACTTCCCGCATGAGCATTTCAGCATCGACGCGTGTACGGCCTACTCCCTTTCCAGTGCGTTTGAAAAAAGAGAGCATTCCCTCGCCAACAGATCAATAGCCCGGATCCATTCTGGTTTGTTAAGAGTAATAGGCATGGATCTGTAGAGAGGGGAGGGAGGCTAACGGCCGCTGATTTAGCCAGGCTACACCAGACACATTTACTCCTCAGCTACAGCTAACAGGGCTTCTCCTGCCTCCCAAACACTTTGTACTGCCATCACAGCGCTGCACACGGGCAGAGGAAAAATTACCTCCATTATGTAATCTCTATAATGATTCCTATTGAGAAAGCAGAGGCTACAGCGGCCATACAGTACATTACACTAAACACCATTACTCTTGACAGCTCCTTTCGAGTGTGTGCATGTGTGTGTGTGCACGAACCGTGTTTGTTTGAGAGTCGGTGTGTGAGTGTGTGTGTGTTAGGTGAGTGAATGATCGAGTGTGTGAGCGCCGCTCTCACAGTGAAATTAAACTGGGGCTCAGGTGAGAAACAGAGCAATGCTTCGGTGCAGAGAGAGAGAGAGAGAGAGAGAGAGAGAGAGAAAGAAGTGGCGGCGAGGAGTTAAACACCCCGAGGACTTTGCAGACAATGTAGAACGAGCCTGTCTGGGGTTAAAGAGGGGGGGAGGGGGGGAGAAAGAGAGGGAGATAGCATAAGAGAAGGGGCACAGAGGGGCCTGACGGGGAGATTGATGGCGTGTAATGATGAAACGGATGGAGGACGAGACAAGAAAGACGCGCACGTCAGAAGCCATTACTCATCTGCGGCGCACACAAACCGCGGCGAACGTCACCCAAGGGTGCTGCGGGAACCGTCTACCACCCACCCTCTCTCTCTGTCTAAGTCTCCCTCTTCGACCCCCCCCCCCTTTGCTTTTCCTCCTCTTACACTTCAGTCTCTCTCAGGAGATTCACATCAAATCATATTTGTCAAGAAACTGTGAAACCTGTTTGTACCATTTACGTTTCAAGTGGAGCAGCGACGGACAAGATATTACTGATAAATTATAAGACGTGCTATAAAACTGTGTTTCTGAATGCTTCTTATAGGCAGGGGTGGAGTACATTTACTAAAATACAATTATCCTTGAATATTTCCAATTCATCAAACTTTATAGAACAGCTTCACTACATGTCAGAGAGAAATATTGTTCTATTTTCTTTCTTTTTTTTGCTGCAAGTTAATTAGATTTTACATATACAACACATAACTTATAAAATATGCAACCATGTTTCCTATTAAATTACGTTCCTGAACAACTAAACTGCATTCTAAATTACGTTTTCGAGGGAAATGTATTTTCCTTCAGAAATTAAACGTGCGATAGAAGTTGTGAATCGAAACCAAACAAACTTCTTGGTTATGTTTAGTATTGCTAATGTTTGGCTTAAAACGAAAAAACTTGGTACATGATGTAAGTATACCACGCATGAATTAAAATAAGTCAACGTTGGCGTCTGGTTTCACACGTGACACTAACAGCGGTCTGCTGGGTGAAAGTCCTGTGCTGAGCATCCCCTCCTCATCCCTACGCAGACTTTCGAGGATCATGATTAGAAACGCTTTTGTGAAAATACGATGCATTATCACAGATTCCTATCCCTGCATACCACACAGGTGCTTCCGGTTCCGTTGCTGCTCAGGCTGGAGTTGTGCAAAGCTACGTGAAGTCGTCATGCACTAATGAGGGGGAAGAAGTTGTAACTACCCCTTCAACAACACTAACAAAGGAGCCCCTCAAGTCCTGAAGAATTGCCATTTCTTATCTTGTTGCACAAGATAAGTGTGCACAAATCATTCTGGAGTGCATGAAACAAAACAAATGATTTAACACTCTGAAAGGATCCTTCTGCATAATGAGTACTTCTAGTTCTGATCATTTAATTATATTTTGCTGGTGACATGTACTACTCAAGTAGCATGTTGAACGCAGTGACTTTAACTTGTATTTTTACCTGGTATTACTAAAGAATCTAAACATTTCCTCCCAATAAACATTGATGATTCAGATCATTCAGCCCCAACACACATTGTACAAAGAATAACACAACAGCAGGGAAGAGCGGTGGGCAAATGTATGTATTTGAAGATGGCAGGAAAGGCGGTGAAAGTTGAGCGTTAGTGAGCCGTCTGAAGCAGCTGCTGGGCGTGGTGTGCTGAGCTGTAATTGATTGGAGGATATATGAATGTCTGATAATTCAACATACAGTGTAATATTGGAATCGAGCTGCAGATAACAAAAAGCAGGAACCGATAACACATTACTGTGCAAATGCTGATTCAGTTCTGCAACTGTGGTTGATCTATGCTTCCCATTACGATGATGCAAGAACTCCATATGCTGGAATATGAATAAAGACTTGACCCCTTGACCCGAATTACGTGATTGAACCATGTGAGACAGAGAAAATCCCCGTCTACATCTGGGTTGTATGCGCGTGTTTTTAGAGTTTCACAGAGCAACATTTTCCATAATGAGCACCCGGGGGACTTGTTGCAGTGCACTCTCTTCTCCAAAACGGCCTGCAAAGAGTTCTGGGATTCCTCACATGCTCCCCAAACGCCTGAGACAGACTAAACTTCCATTCCCATAACAGGATACTCACAACCAGCACCATCCGTTCTGTAGCACAAGCTTTTCATTCACACGAAGGGCAAAAAAAACAAGCCCAGAAAACTACAGCACAAGAGGTGTGGATGTATATTCAGCAGCCCACACTGTCACTAACTGCACTTCCTGCATTAATATCATCTTTTGGAAAATAAACGTTTACACCACGTTTAACCATGACGAGCTTCAAATCCACGAAACCAGCCTGAACATGAAGAACATCTGAAACCACTGCATGAGAGTGTATGGAGCAGAGCTGACTATGATTGGCCAGTCTGGGTTTGAGGGGCGGGACTTAGCTCAGGGTCAATAAAAAAACAAAACATCTGGCCAACCGGCTCCATATGGTACCGAACAGGGGTTCAGGATGAACTCGAATGCCCAATCGCCTCCATATGTGGGCGATATCGATGCAAAATGTGTGCAAGTCCCTGCAGCCAGGACCTAAAATCAAGTAGTAAAATCTTCCAAAAAGAGTAAAGGCTGTTTCATGGTTTCCGTTTTAGAATGAGATGTCCAATAATCTCAGGCAGGTGTTAAGTTGACATACCTTTAGGCCATATATTGTAGCACCAGGGCCAATTATCTTCCAATGACAAGACATAAAGTCGTTCTTATCACTGCAGGCGGCTCTAAATGTATTCATTTGAAACTCACTGAACTGGTGTATTATAATTCAGGTATGTCTCTGTGAGTTAAGTTAGACCGGTGTTCAATAACACAAAACCAGACGTGGACACTGTGCTGCTGTGTGAATGCGGCCCTGCTCCCGCTGCCGTGGACTTGTGTAGGCCGTTTAAAAACCGAGCCCGCTCTCGACTAAGCTGCATTCACTAAACATCTGCTTAACATCCCGCACACACACCTCTTAACACAATGAGCTGATGTGCCGGGCGGCGGAGTGTGCGGCGTTCCTCTCTCCCCGTGGAGGCTTCGAATGCATCACGCCTAATCAGAGAGGGGAGGCTCAGCTCGTGTGCGCCGGCTAGCGCTGCATGCTAATCCTCTGCAGATGAAGACGCTAAGCTAAGCGCAGGCTGACAGCCATGCCGTGGGAATGGCAAAGTGGGCTAACGCTAACTGCAGTGTCACCGCTCCTTCACACACACACACACACACACACACACACACACACACACACTCCTCAAAGCTCTGTGCATTTGGGTATTTGTTGTGAAAGTGTATTCATGACTTAGCGTGTGTGTGTGTGTGTGTGTGTGTGCGCACGACTAACCAACGACAGCTGCATTAAAAGCCTTCAATGTCAGTCTGGCCAGCTGAGATTTGACTTGGCTGTGAGCATCTGTGTGTGTTTTCCGTGTGTGTCTGCGGGTGTGTGTGTGTGTGTGTGTGTGTGCGTGAAGGAATTTGACAACAATACGAACAAGCGAACTGAGCCAGGCAAATGTGGGATGCAAGACAACGTCTCAGCATAACGTTAACTTACACAGACACACACAAAGTTCAGCGAGTTGTTGTTTACCAGCGGAGGTGAAACAGAGCCGTGGCCTTCTCATTAAAGAAAGAAAGAAAAAGCAAACCTTTGTAACTTCTCTCATTAGTGTGCGTCTCTTCTGTGGATTGTTTGTGCGCCCGACACCGAGGAATGATTTGTGAGTGGTTTTGGGCCCCCCTGTCTTGGTTTAAACACACTTGTGAGAAGGTAAACACAACCATCCATCCGTCAGTGTGCAAGTGTGTCAGAACATCTGTGCGCCCCGCCCCGGCCGGGCTGAAAAACTACCACTCAGATGGATCATAGCGGACACACACTGTAGTTGTATGAAAGCACCCCAGAGAACCACAGATAAGAGGGCTATAATGTCTGCCAGTCAGAAAAGCACTAACACAGAGCCGCCTGCCAATCTTGGCCGACCACAGCCGCCATATTGCCCACCGCTGTGCCCGCTCGCCGTCAATCACGTCTCACCACCTAACCCACCGCCCTGACAACCGGCAAAAACATCTTGCAGGACCGAGCCAGCACTCCTAATTACAACCACCGCTGCCAAGTGCACAACACCAACCGTCGACCGAAAACCACAACTCGATGTAACGTAAACGCTGCCGTCAGGGCTTCACATCCCGAAGAAAAAATACAGCCATGCCCGGCTCCAACCCCTCCTTCCTGCTTTCCCTTCCATCCCATTAACAAGGTGTCACCGCTAATATTTAGGACCTTAATTTGTGCCGCTCCTGAAGCCGCTTTGATCCAAACAGAGTGTGACAACTTTAATGACTAAACAAAACAGAGGACAAACAAACCTAAAGACCTGCTGCTAAATCATGGCGGGGTGGTCCGCCGAGGGAGATGGCTTTTTGAAGTGGAGGGGGAGAAAAAACAACAACAACCGAGGGAAGCTTTTTATGTGGCCGCGCCATCATTACGCCGCGCGAGGTGAGGCAGAGGCCTAATTAGGGCCGGGATTGATTGAAGTGTTGTGCTCCTCTACCTTCAGACTTCAGCACAAAAGGAGAGAAGAAATGAGGAAAAAGAGTCTACTTCAGGGGCAGGATTTGAGTTTTGGTCGAGTTATTTCCAAATAGCTTGTCCTAAGAAACCTGGACTCAAAAATGTATATAATTAGTTTTCTTTCAGCCATTGCAGATTGGCCAGGTTGGTTGAAAATAAAACATGCGCCTTGACATTCATTGACATCACCTGAACAGGATTCCCGGGGAACGATGGCCCCTGAAACCCGGTTCGAAACGGGAACCGGTTGTTAAATTAGTGAAAAACCCAGAGTATTGATGCGGTTCTGCTATCGGTTCTCTCTCTGTCTCTGTCTCTTTGTGCTTTACTCCGACACACACACACACACACACACACACACACACACACACACACACACCGACTCCGGCTCAGTACAGCGTGAGACACATATCATGGCAGAGAGAAGAAAAAGATCCAAAGTGTGGCTTTTATATTACCAGCAATTTATCACAACATTTGGCCAACAAGCAGAACATCAATCTGCAGAAATGCTCAGTTTTCTACTGTTTGTCGAGCAGCCGTCCATCCTCGTCCACTGCAGGTTTGATCATCATCACAGGCTAATGAAGGAAAGCTAATCGCTAAGCTAATTATTCAGCTGCGAACGCATTTTAAAGATTTTGGGACTTCTTGTATCACTGTTTGTTTGCATACAATAATGATAAAGCAATGTTGATTTATTTTCTGAATTAATCGTCTTTTTTTCCTCATAATATGATCAAAAAGAACCGATAAGCAGGCATTTGCAGTAGACAACTGTCTACATAGCAGCTTCAGGGTTACAATTAGCCTCAGCTTAAGGGGGTTACAGAAATCTATGAACTTGTCAATGGACGTTCTGAGAAGATGGATAGGTTGGGGTGAGGTTGGAGTACTCAAAGATAGTGTGATGTCCATGAATACTCGAGTCTTTCCAGTCTTTTTAAAAAATGCAGAACGTCTGTGGCATATCCCTTCTCTTTAAAAGGGAGACAGCGCCTCATCATCTCTTCCCGCCTCCCACCATCTCTCTCTCTCTCTCCTCCCCTTCCATCTTCTAAACCAGGTTATTCTGGAGAAGCGGGGCTCCTGTCAGCTCCCACCAGCACTTGCCTCCAAATGACAAGAGGTAACCCTCTTATATGAGGCAGCCACTGCTAAAAGCATGTCATTTTCTCCCGCTAATGTCAAGTGGGAACAGATCAGAACAGGCAGGTGGGAGTTAATAACGCAGCGGATTCCTTTTGGGCGCTCCCGCTTGCGTGAACTCAAACTTCCTGCGTGACCTCCTGCGTTGTGAATTGCGAGGTAATCAACTGGGGTGACCTGTTCTCTCCGGCATCGTCTAAATCACTGCTAAAAAAAAGCCCCGACTCATGATAAAAAGGGGTGGGAGGGGTGTGACTACTGACATCTTTCCTTTGAAACGTTCCCTCTAACCTCACTCTTAAATTATCTTGTCCATCATCGCGCCATCTCTTTGTTTTTTTTCCCCTCCACATTTGATCCACAGCCGTTGCATACTCTCCTTGCATAAATCCACTGCGCTGCAGATATACGAGCCCACTTTGAGTGACTTTCCCCATTGATCTGTACATTAGCAGGTTGTTGAACACCCTGAGAAGAAATAGTGGCAGTTTGATTGGCCTATTCAGAGAGGTTTCGCTGCAATCACGAGTAATTTTCAAGCTTACTGACTCGATGGGCTGATTACAGACAAGGTGGAGCAAATCTATTGATTTAAAAATACAGTTCTTTCTCAGCTGATAGAGGTGTTCTTGATTAGCCAGGCCGTTGGAATTCAGTGCTGCTTAAAATTCAGAATATTACGGCAAGAAAAAATCACAAAAATTGTAGCTAAGCAGACAACAGAAGCTAAAACAACAACAACAACAAAAAGTACGCTAATGAACGGTAGCAGCATAGCATCTTTAAGCTAACCTGTCTCAAAACACAAATACAAGAAATATACATTTTGCAAGAAAGATGCAGTAAAATAAAACCCGACACAGGCATTCTTAAAAGAAGTGAATGAGCAGGCTACAGACTATTTCTAACATTTTAGCTTTATTACGTTGACGTTATGCCCGTGAATGTAGTCTTAGTCTCTGGATCCTTTTACAGCCGACGTCCTCAAAAATATGCGTCTGCATGTTTGCAACGAAAGTGTCTGAATGAAGCCAAATCACTGTAAATAAGATACACGCGTGCGTGTGTAGAGCTCCCGCGCATGCAAATTAAACAGCAGCGTACGTGTTTTTTATTATGTATGCGTTTGTATGCTAAGATGCTAAGCTATGCTAAGCTACAACCAGCTTGATTGGCAACGTTCTTTGCTTGGAGTAGGAACTCTGATCTTTTGTGCAGCAGCATCTCCTGATGTCAGAGATATTCACCTGATCCAACCTTTCCTGTGTGATCTCATGTTCCTTTAGAATGAAATTTAACTATTTTAGCCAAACAAAAAAAATGCCCCTTTCACCTTCTCAAGTGTAAAGATGACACCCATCACATCGGGGCTGCATCCCCTGCTGCTGATGAGAGATATAACCCCGGCTACCCACAGTGCATTGCTGGTCTGCCTCTTAAAAAAAAGAGGCCGGGGTTGTTTCATCCATAACCAACAGAGCCATCAGCGGGAGAAACCGGGTCTCTCTGTATTCCGCTCTTGCCCCCCCCCCCCCACTGCAGAGGCTAGAGGTCCACACACACTGTGGCTTCACTCATTACCTTCCCGCTTGGATGCCAGACCCCCATTCACCCCGCTGACACACACACACACGCCGACACCAACACAGTGAAAGCCCCCCCTGATTAATCATCTACTTTAACCCCTACCTCTCCACAGAGCCTCACACCCACCTCCTCGGAAGAGGCAACGCGGCCGTGTGGATGATACGTGATCCTGATTTTGATTGGTATCCTTCCCGGAGAGATGCTGTGGCAGGGAAGCTCCCGTTATTTGACCCTCACACACAGCCGGTTCCTGATAGACGGGCTTTATTACGAACATCTATTTGAGGAAACCTGATCAAAATGAGATTAGAGTCAACAAACGGAACATTGTGAGCTTTCCTTCATATCACAGGTGGAGAAGAATATAAGGGCTAATATCGGCCTTGAATATCAATAATTTTCTATGATTCGAGCAGCTGAAAAAGGTTAGACCCACCACCCCGCTTCTAAGCACAGCAGCAGAATCCATGATTTACGTTTCCTCTTTCCTCGCTGCTTCATCCTATTTGAGGAAGGCTGGAGGTTGCAGACATTCATTATTTCGCAAAACAAACTAACATTCGTCACCGGCGGGAAAAAACACATGATAGTGCACGGTGACAAATCTGTAGGTTGCTGAACTACAATTCTTCATTTCTTTTTTTCCTTGAAGCTGCTAGATGATAGCGGTTACCAACCACGTCCTGCAACATGAATATTCACTTCACGTAGTCCCTGAATGCACCATAACGCAGTCCAGTGATCATTCCAGTGATTTTTTTAACTTCAAAATCTACAATCACAGTCAACTCCCTCCTTAAGCCGCAAATCCGGGCGTCAAGATTTGAATTAATGTGATATGTGATGTGACACTTTTTTTGGAGGCCATTCCGCTGATATTAAATTAGTGACTGAATACCTGAGCTCAAAGATTTCTCCCTTCAGGTATCCCATCCAAATGACTTTTATTTGAATGTATGACTGCCAGCTGTGAATGAGAAAAATCACCCCGGCTGCTGTCACAGTGTCCCGGGAGGCGTTCCATTATTCACTGTCTACGGAGCCGCTCCAGGATTCGTCTCTAGATAACATCGTCTCTGCACTCCGTCTCTCTGCTGGTCCTGTTTATGGAGAAACTTCTTCAAATACACGTATTGACTCAGAGTGCAGAGCCGTATAACACGCTCAGTATTTCCTTTATAATTAGTGCCGACACAATAAGTGAATCGGCAGGAAATAAATTAACAATTTCTGATAAGTAATGAACCTTTTTTAAGTCATTCATGAGGCAACAATGCTGTTAATCTTTACAGCTGCTACAATGTGGCGCTTTGCAGCTTATCTCATGTTTACAGTGTATTTAATATGAATCAAGGAATATTTGTATGTGCGTGTGTGTCCGTCACATATCTCGGGAACAGTCCATCTGATCTACTTCACACTTGGCCGGGGTTTTACTCAGCACTGAATGACGTGCAGTATCAATGTTGAATATTAATACACTTTGAATAAACAAGTACTCTGTGAAATAATGCATTTTCATTGCGAAGTGACGTGTTACAGCCTCACGTTATCTTCAGCTTCACACTGTGAGGCAAACAGATTTTTAATTTAAATAAAAAAGGGAGCACCGGTATTCGATCAGTCTTTGTTTTCGTGTCGCAATCAGTATCTGGATAGAAAAAGTAGCAAAAATATATATTTTAGAGCATAAATGTGAGTAACTAAGCTCAGGTGGGTTCACTCGGCACTAAATCTTCCTCCTTTGCCTGTCTGGACTCCACATCCCTCCGTTTGCATCCTCTCATCCCTGTCTTCACTCTTTAGTCTCCTGCCCTTTTCTGTTTCACTCAGCCTCTCCTATCCTTGTTACCGAGACCATTAAGCTTAGCGGGGCTGGTTAGCCCGGGTTAAATACACATAACCTCACGATGCTCCGGCAAGGGGGGTGGGGTGGTGGTGAAGAAGCATCCCAGAAATGCTCGCAAACACACTCCACTCGAATACACATAGGTCCTCGCTTCAGCTTTAAGAGCAGCGATTGCTGTAATAGCCCTATAGAGGAAAGAGGAGAAGAAGAAAAAAACACACAACAGAGAGGGAATGAAAGGATTGAGAGGAGAAAGAGTTGATGGATGGGTCTGCTTTCCAGGTCACTTAGGGGGCTCCTCCCTCCGTGTCAGACTCTCCCCAGGGTCACCATTACTGGGCACACACACACACACACACACCAGCGTATCGCAGAGTACAAGAACCGAGGCAGGTCGCAGCACAATGGGCAACATCGATTTTACAATATAAACTAATGAAGCAGACCAAACTCAATACATAGAACACACAACATGTACACAGGGGAAGCATGCGCGCACACACACACACACCTTGTAAACACATACCAACACCGTCTCTTTGTTCCTTTTCAATACACTTACTGTAATTGCTGATGTGAAGATATAAGTGTGTACATTACCGAAACACAAACCAATTATACTCGCGCCGCAGATATTCTCCGGCTCTCAAACAAACATGGCTGCACACGGGAAACATGCTAAAATACAGGCACGACTTCCAGGCCTCGTCTGAGAGAGAGAGAGAGGTTGTGTGTGTGTGTGTGTGTGTGTGTGTGTGCTCCCTTGAGG